CGCTTGATCCGCTTCATCCACTTCACTACTGGTCAGTTCATTGAATTGACCAATGACATAGCGGATCAAGTGGATTAAAGCGGATCAGTATGGCGCGTGTCATAGCTCGCACGCACTGTCACCCCCATTCGGCAATTCTCCAGTGTGACTGATAGCACATCTGGAAGTACAGAAGACAAGAATTCGGTCAGTTGTGAAGAGTTATGCACATTATGCATTCATAGTCTACGAAGGATCATTTTGAAGACATCTGTCAAATTACCGAATTGTGAGGCGAGAAATTGCCTACGGTACGCTCTGGCCCCAAAGATGTAAATGTCAAAATCTTTCTCGACTGCGAGATATATTGAATGGTTGGAAACGTTGTAATCAGTTTACCACAGTTGAATCTACACTATTCTAGGGCTTACGAGTCTCAAGACAGAGTTCACGCGATTCAATCGTCGCTCATCGCTGAAAGACAAGTGTTACGAGTTCATTGCATGCCGATTTCCTTGCATTTCGGTTGTGATAGTTAGAATACATGGTTACGATTGATTGTGTTGGAAAACTATCGCAACCGAAATGCAAGAAGATCGGCATGCAGTGAACTTAACATTTGTCTTATAGCGATGAATCGTGACGATGATATCGCGTGAACTCTGTCTTGGGCGTAAGGAGAAATTCCAGAAATGGCTGGGTAAAATGGACTATTGTCTATTTTTTGCGCTGCAACAGTAGACATTCCACATATGCCGTAGCCAGGGTATTCCCTCCGATTCATGAGCCGGATCTTGGAAGTTCTCCAAAGTTTCACCAGCCAAGCACATTATATGAAAATGTCGGTGGTGGATTTGAAGATGTTCCAGGGGTCTAGCGTTTGGAGGTGGACTGAGGTTACAGTGCTTGGAGGTCTACTGTCTGCCACCAAAGTCTGGCATGGTTTATCTTGCTGAGGGGGAAAAGGCCTGCTCAGGCAGCAAATCTCAGTCAGCTTTGACGGATGAAACCGTGATTCAAGTAAATTAAATATTTAGCAGTTAGAAATGACACTGAATGACTTGAAGAGTTTGACTTGAGGTTTCCAATACTCAATTTCAGGTTATTGTTCGATTCTTGACTGTGATGATGAAACATGGATACATTGGCGAGTTCGAGATTGTTGATGATCACCGTGCTGGCAAAATCGTTGTTAATCTCAATGGCCGACTCAATAAGTGCTCCGTTATTTCTCCGCGATTTGACATAAAGATCAAGGTGAGTGCATATCTGAAAGCATTTGAATCAGCCACACATCAGTAATTTGTTTAGGATATCGAGCAATACACCACAATGCTGCTTCCTTCCCGACAATTCGGGTTCCTCATCCTGACCACTTCTGGTGGAATTATGGACCACGAGGAGGCCAGAAAGAAGCATCTCGGAGGAAAGATTTTGGGATTCTTCTTCTAAAGTTGATTGTTATAAATAAATTGTTGTTTGTTTTTATATTCTGTGTAAGCACCACAAAAGTACATATATCTCCAAGATATCGATTTCTTGGCGTCATTTAGCTATAGTTATGCTTTTGTAGTTCAGTGGTACTAGAGTTGTAGGAGTTAGATATAGTCGAGTAGAAGAAAGGATCGGTTAATAGCTTTTACAACGCTATTTTGTTACAGCTTTATGGAATCAACGTTTTAAAGGCAGTGTCCGGGCAAAAATTCTATTCTGAGATTTTGTGCTTACCCGGGCCTATTCACTTTGCTGAATC